GTTCTATGTTTATGACTAAAATTAAATACTTAAAATTTTAATAGGAAAAACTATTTATATTGAAAAAATAATGTACGTGGAGCACATGTCTAAAAACTTCTCTCCTCTGCTTAGTTTCCTCTGCTCAAAAATTTTCTCCGATCTTGGTTCGGTAGCTGGCGGCTTCCATAGCGTTGGTACCGGACCCGTCCTTTTTGCTTTCTTGATTTCTTTTTTGGTTTGTTTTAGCTTATTAGAGAGCTTTTATGGCTAGAGGTAGCTTAGTCTCATGAGATCTGCAAGGTTTTTGGTGGTTTCGATTTGTTTGGGGCTTAGCTTTGTGTAAGGAGTCGTTGTTGCGTGGATTAGTCGTGAGCGGATCTGGTTGGATTTGTGTTGTCAGTTTGGATGGGTTCGTGGTCTCGAGACGGTTCCCGGTTGGTCTCGCTTCGATCTCCTTGCTATGGGATGGGAGATGAGCTGAGTGTTTGTTTATTGAAGTCTGGCTTGTGTGGTGCAGATTTCTCTCCTCGGTCTTCTGTTTTGTTTGGTGGTGATTGGATGAAGTTGTGAGCATTGGGTTTCTTATGCTTCTGTTCATCCGGTTCAGTCAATTCATCTCTAGCTTTGGTTTTGATCTCATTGTTTCTTTTGTGCTCTAGTTGTGGAGTGTTGTGGTATTGTGTATTGTAAGATTAGTGTGAGTTAGGGTTCTTTTGGTCGAGGAGATGTGCTAGTTTTTGACCCAGGCGATTGTAGTGGTCTATGCGTTTGTTTGGTTGTAGAGCTTGGTTTGGACTCGGTGGTCATTTTATTATTGTCTTGGCGTCGCTGTCGTCTCTGTTTCTCGGTGTCTATGGTAAGGCTACTTGATCGTTGGTTCCTTGCTATGTTGCCATTTTCCCCTGCGTTCTAGTCCGCTTTCTCTGTTTGTTGGTTAAGGTGCTTCTAGAGCCGCGTTTTGGTCGTCCAAGCTTCTTCTGGGTGTGCCTCAAGGTTTAGGTTATGTTCATTGCTTATGTTTGTTGGCTCAGAGTTGGCTACTTCTTGATCTTTGGCTTCGAATGTGGGTGTGCTATTGGCTCTATGGTTTGAGCTTGGTGGGATGACGATGCTTTCCACTTTGATCAAATCCTCTTTCTTCTCTGTTTTAGTGTTTTGTATCTCTTGGGCAAAGATTTTTCTATGAATATCTTTATGTCCTTGGGTTTCATGCTTTATGGGTGTTGTGTAACTCGTGTGGATTGTGTACTCTTTCATTATAATATACCATTAGATGACAGAAAAAATTGAAAAAATAAAGTTCTCACATGCCACGCTTGAGGCTCCACATCATCGGATACATCTTGAGTCCTTAATCATGACGCTAGTATGGTGCGGTTTTTAAAATCAAACACATCACAAAATATTTGTCACTTAAATTAGACTATTAGAGCATTTCCAACGGTAAAAGTTAAAACATGAAGATGATCATGACGATGAGTGTAAGTCCTCTCTCTTCGTTCTCTAGTTGTAATTTATAGGATTAGAATGTTCGATTATCTAGTTTAGGGTTTGCAGAAATCACATGTTAATCTGAATCGATTACTTTTGTTTGAAATCGAATCGACTTCTTGTGTTTCTGAATGTTTTCTTGCTGAATCAATTCATGTCTGCAAGGGTCGCATTGACCATTGAGCTAACTGGGGACATATGGCTTGGTCTAGTGTGAATAAAAATGTTGCTGTTCAGAACTAGGTCCTGCTTGAGATTATACATGGAGTCAGAACCAGGAACTCTACCTAATGGAATGGTTTGTGTTCCTGTTCATATTTTTGATTTAAAAATTCTGGTTTTAGGGAGATCGATAATTGATGGTTCTACTTTATTAATCAGGTGGTGGCTAATGATGTTGATTTCCAAAGATCTTCAACAAACAAAGAGAATGTGCACTGCCAACTTGATAGTGACTAACAATGAAGGCCAACAGTTTCCTGCTTGCCGCTTGAACAAATCTCGAGCATCCGAGAAAGGAGTAAGTGAAGAAATGCATATCAATCAACTTTCCTTTTGGTTTATGTACATGAATTCTGGTTTATGAGGCATTAATTCCTTTTGGTTTATGTACAAGAATTCTGGAATGGTCAATGGACTTCATAGCCTACAGGTTATTCTTGCTATGAGGGGTTAGCGTTTCTTATATAGGAACCTAGTCCATGAAATCACTGGTAGATTTAGCAGCCTATCTTAAACATGTATGATTGGTCTTGTATAGGGTTTATCTCTATTGAAAGTTGGTGGGAAAATGATATACTCAACCTGCTCAATGAACCCAGTTGAGGATGAAGCTATTGTCGCTGAGGTAACTTCTTCACCTTTCATTATAAACCTGTTATAGCTGTTGAACTTGTAGATGTTTCGGATAAACTTCCTGAACTTGTATAATTCTTTCATTGATTTCTTTATTGAAGTAAAACTGAAGTTAAAATGAAGTTAAACTGAAGTATAACTAAAACTATAACTGAACTAATACTACACTAAACTACAACTGAACAAAACTTAATTATTCGTAACTGAAACTTGAACAAAATTTATGGTGATGGAGACATTAGCCATGCAAGTCTTTTTTTTTTTTGGTCAAGCAGGTCCTGGTTCTGAACAGCAACATGGTTTTGAGCCATGTAAGTCAATGACTTAAATTAAAATACCTAACCCAAATTGAATACAGATTAGATTGCTCATTTAGTGAGCCAATGGTTTCATAATGACTCCATCTCTGTTTTGTTCAGAATACTCCAAACCAAACCATTTCTTGTTTATTTCCTTTCTAGCTTAGTAAATGGGTTCTTCTGATCCATTTAGTTCATCTCAAACCTTTATGGATCTCTTGAATAACCAACAAGAGATCAACACTCCAGAAACATATTCCCAAACACAGTCACCTACAAACCAAACAACTTCCCTTGACCGTAGAGAAGCTAGGCATAAATGGAGTATCTATCTTATTTTCCTGTTTCAGGGGCATGGCGCCGAAGCAGCATGACAACAACAACAGCCACTACTGTGTAGAAAAGTCTAGATGTCCACTTGGGCGGTTCTTCCTCGTCTTTCTTTGGCCAGAGAGTCTAGTTTGAGTATAAACCAAGTTAAAACTATGTATGACCAGTCTCCGTGACCGGGATAAGCAAGCCATCTATAGCCAGTAAATTATTGCCTAACAGTGCTTAGTGGTAATTCACTATCCTTTTAATGGTAATTTTTTAGAGCCAATTATGGTCTTCTGAGTGATCTTTTAAGGTGCAAACTAGTAAAATACATCAAACAGATATAGAGCTTACCGAAAAGCGAGGACAGAAATATCAAAAGAATACCCGCGCATGAGTAGAGAACAATCAGTTTGCAACGATGTGGATACACAGGAAACAAACAAATTGCGAGAGTCAATACANGCCAGAAGAAGGACAAAAGTGTTTGCCAGAGTGGATGCCGNTTTTCAAATNTNCANGCNAAAAAGGCATCAGTTTCAGAGAAAGCTTGATCATCCTGTGTTATAAAGGAGAAATATGAAAATATCGAAGCTGTTGAAGCATATCTGACTCAAAAGAAACCGAAAAAATAGGCACAACCAAGAACCAAAGGACTTGATGGTGAAAAGTTTCAATCAATCGCATAGTAAGCAGATCAATGTCATTTAGAAATAAGACGAGATAACATGTCCAATAGCAAACTTCTATAGAAACTAAAACCTTCAAGTCAGATACGGGCATTCAGTTCTTTATTTCTCGTCTTACTCCATTAGTCCATTATGAAGTAACACGATCACACAAGACCAAAAGAGTTTTTCCTCCATTTTATGAGGAGGAAACCACTAGAACAAGAGCCACTTTGTAATTTTATTATCTTTACCTCAGTTTTCTTGTAAATTCTGCGACGTTGTACAAGTCCGACGGATTATTGGTAAGTTTCTTCTTCTCCTTCTCTTCAATTTGTGGTCTTTTCAAGATCTGCCTCTAACAATGTTTATAATATATGCACACACTAATTGAAGAGAATTACCCACATAAAGCCACGCGTCATCGTTTGAGGAATCCGTAATGTCCTCCTCTACCAAGGGGAAGTGCATGAAATACCTCTAGAAGGTTGGGGCCTACTTATATTAGTGAAAACTACTCACATGCCACGCTTGAGGCTCCACATCATCGGATACATCTTGAGTCCTTAACCATGACGCTAGTATGGTGCGGTTTTTAAAATCAAATAGATCTCAAAATATTTGTTACTAGGCTATACTCTATTTATTTCTAGCAATGAGTTTGTTTTGAGAAATCACAACGTGGTTCTACTTCTACTATGTAATTAATTCGTAATAGGAAAGGCAACAATTTTACAAAACAAACGTTAAAATAAACCGTATGGAGTACATATTACAAGAACAAGATCATAAGCACATCAAATAAATCAATATGAAAATTTTACAACAGCAAAACGCAAACATTAGCCAACAATTTGTTAAATCAAGCATAGAGCAATCTTTGGTATTCGTGACATTTCCTCCTTACACTGACAAGTAACTGGTCGGAGTCTTGTTTAGGTCAGGACAGGGGGATTTAGAACGGCATAAGCGAGCAAGTCTTGGTCACGGAGGAAAACGGACATGTCTTGCTCCGGCAAGCTTATCCAGGCTTCTACACCTTCACCATCTTTTGAATCAAGCAGCACCACAACCACCACGTCTTGCTCGGGTTTTGAGGCCAATCCAGTCCAGACTGGACTACCCCATCCGAAGTCAACCTCGTAGAAAGGCTTTCCGCACCAGCTAGTCATTGTGTATAACTCTATTGTCCAGTTTGACCTCTGACACAAAACTTCCAGTTACACTCAACAAATACTGACCAAGTGTATTGCCTTGGCGATTCTCTTTAATCATCTCGTTGATTCCTTCTTTGGCCTTCCTGTATGCAGCCACGGTATCGTAGATTTCCAAGGCGTCGCCTGTCTTGACGAACAATGATGTTTGTAGGTTGCCGATCGCGTCCCGTGTAGACGGAATCCTAAGTCCATGATTTGAGACATCAGCGTCGGCCTTGGAACAGAGAAGTTAGAACGCGAGGCGTTTTTGGCAATTCTCCATACAAGCGCCGACATAGCTTCCACACGTGTAGGTAACGGGACAGCTTTGCTAGCTGCCTGGCGTTTAAGCTCAGCGATCTTAGAGGACTCGAAGACAAACCTATTTGTTACACACTTGATTGTAGAATCCGTTGATGGTGACTGTAAATTGGCATGAGGAGGAGGATAAATGGTCGTCTCAGCGAAGTGAATATTATTGTTTAACTTCCCTTTTGCAGTGGTCGTGGCCCAGTCAGTGACGAAGGTCAACAATGAGGCTGCGTCGCAGAGCCTGTGAGAAACAGCGACCGTGACCGCAACTCCTGATCCAGACCCGAAGAAAGTGACCATGACACTTAACAACGGCCACACCGTTGGAGAATCTCCTAGGGTGATCGGGGAGAATCGGTCTAGAGAGTCCACGTTGATGTTTCTCAAGAAGTCGGAGAGAAGGATATCAGTGCGTGCTTCAGTGAAGACGGCTCCTTCATCGTTGCAACTGATTGAGACGCCTTCTATTCGTCCTGCAATTGGATAGAAACGTGACAGAGTCTCGGACAGAGAGCTTTTCAGTTTCCCAGAGATGATCTCCGGCGATTCGGTGACATCTTCAGCTTTGTAGAAGAAGATCACCGGCACGTAAACTGCGGGAGAGATGAGGTCGAAGATGGAGAGTTGAAGACGATCATGAGGCGATGGTGAAGCAGGCTTGATCACTTCTCTCCTTACCACCTCTAGCTTCACTTGTTCCATTTTCTTCTTCTTAGAATGCTTAGAGGTTAGAGTAGAAGTAACAATAGTTCTGAGATTTATGTGCTTTCAAAATGAAATTAAATAGAGGCCATTACATCGATTATGTCACGGTTATAAATATATTAAAATAACTAGTATTAAATTTATTATAGCATAAGTATTGGTGATACAATGTGGGTATCATTAAATATAAAATTATTAAAATTTGAGTTAAAGGAAGAAAGAGAGTGTTTTTGGTTGAAATAGTGGGGTGTATTGAAATATAAAATTAATAAAATTTGAGTAAAGAGAAGAGATAGTTGATATTTTTGGAGAGAGGGTATCAAATAGTTGATACTTTTGATATTTTTGAAGAGAGAAATAAAGAGTGTATCAAATGTTTTTAATAATTTTATATTTAAAGAGAGTATAAAATTAATAAAANTTGANTAAAANGATGAAAGANAANGTATAAANTTNAATAAAANGAAGNGAGAGTGTGTTTTTAATATTTGTTTATTCAACTGATACTCTCTTTGTATCAAGGATGATGATGCTCTTAGTAAAC